CTAACCGCTTGAGCTATGGCGCGGCCATTATATATCCATTTGTAACTTACCTGATTGACTTACCTTCGTATTAAATATAATATACTACATAATATGATATAATATTAAAATATAAAACTTCCGAAAGTAATTACAAGTGTATAATAAATTAGATATAGTCAGGTTTTTTTTCATTTTGTAGAAAGAGTTCCGAATGTAAATTAAGAACTGTTTTCGTTACAATAAGTTATGCGACTGTCGAAGGCCTTCAGCGCGTTACGGGCCCCAGTCACATTCGGAATTACATAGTTTTTACTTCCGGTGTTCAAAAAAGAAACAATGACACTAGGCTAATACAATAGAAGCGAACCAAACGTTACGGTCGAATGGGTAGCACTTCCAGACAAATTCTATTGCAGTACTACAAATTAGTGGACTACCGCTTCCATTCATATCCTGTCCAATTCATTAATTCACTCATCATTTTACCATTCGACGCTGTGGATTTTGAGCTACTGAAATAAATAAATAACCACATATTTTCTGTACAATTAAATATATTATTGAAGTTGTTTCGGTCAAGCTCGATGCCCCACATGCACAAGGGATGCAGTGTTGTAGTTAACGACAAATTGTTCGCTCTGATGATGTAACATCAATAATAAGAGCAAACCCCTGCTGGCTAACGTCCAAGCCTGCGAAACACTGGAAGCCCTGGAAATGACCCGTAATTATCTTTGACGTTCTTTAAGACTTCGGAAACAAGATGACTTGTCTTATAGCTCAAGGCAAATTCACAGACTGAACGTAAAGATCTTGTGACAAGAATTTAGTGGTGCCAAAATTTTATGAAATGTCTTCGCTGTAATAAAAGCCTCGTGCCTTCCTAGAAGACTTACCGAGATGACTGTCGGGAATAGTAACGCAAACAGTGGATCTCTGCCTGTAAGGCAGAAGAAATGTAGCAGGTTTGTAACAAAAGATGGAGGACGAAAATTAATGCCTTTTTATACTCCAAGATTTCTTAAACAGATGCACTTGAGAATTAGAATGATATATATAGGCCTATTGCCGGTCACGGTAGCCGAGCGGTCTAAGGCATGCACTGTCTTCGCTCGCTCGGAAGCCGGGATCATGGGTTCGAATCCCACTCAGGACATGGATATTTGTGTGCGTTTTTCTGTGTTTGTCTGCAGGTAGAGGCCTTGCAACGAGCTGATCACCCGCCCAAGGAGTCCTACCGAATGTGTAAGATCTAGTAAACCGAAGTGAAACGGAGAAGTTCATGGAGGTAGGCCTAGGTCCACTGGGGCTGTAGTGCCAAGGGGGAAAGAAAATATAGGCCTAATACCCTTTGTTTACCTTCGAAAGACAAGACTAAACGAAACCACAAAATGGGGATCCAGTATACACTCGACCATTTTAGAAATATGAACCGTGTGCATTATCAAGAAGATAACTCGATTCGTTGGAATACTTAGAAAGTCATACGAACGTCGAAATTTCGGTCGAAGTTCAAACTGTTACTTTGGTTTCCTAAGTTCCTCTCTATATTTCTTGATATTAATAATTTCCTCTCGAATTTGATTTATATTCTGATATCACAGTAATGAAACATCTGGAAAGTTTCGAAATGTGGTGTTGGAGAAGAATGGAGAAGATCAGTTGGACCGATTATGTGAGAAATGAAGAAGTATTAATTAGAGTCAGTGAGCAGAGGAATATCCTACACGAAATAAGAAAACGGAAGGCTAATTGGATTGGTCGTGTTTTACGCAGAAACTGCCTTCTAAAAGAAGCTATCGAAGGAAAGATAGATGGGCAGATAGAAGTGACAAGAAGACGAGGAAGAAGACGTAAGAAGATGCTGGACGACCTTGGGGACAGAAGAGGATACTGTCATTTGAAGGAGGAAGCTCTAGATCGCATTAAGTGGAGGAATTGTTTTGAAAGAGACTGTGGACCTGTCGTCTTGACAGATTACTGATGATGATGATCACAGTAATCCTGCTACATCAACAATCTTAATTAATCCCTAAATATATAGGTTTTTAAGAAGAAAATGTTCGTTACTTCAAAATGCTTATCAAGACCATTAGATTTAGGTTATGTTAATCAATTCGTGTTTTCAGACAGTGAGTGGAAATTAGACAACAAACAAATTACGTCAGTCCCTCGGAGTTGCTGCTTAAAGTAGTTCATGGTTAAGGATTTTCTTTCTTTTTTTTTCCTGTGGCGCTACAGCCCCAATTTGGGCCTACGCCTACCTCCATGAAACTTTACGTTTCACTTCGGTTTTCTAGATCTTAGACATTCGGTAGGACTCCTTGGGCGAGTGATCAGCTCGTCGCAAGGCCTCTACCTGTAGACAAACACAGAAAAACGCACACAAACATCCATGCCCTGAGTGGGATTCGAACCCACGATCCCGGCTTCCGAGGGAGCGAAGACAGTGCATGCCTTAGACCGCTCGGCTACTGTGACCGGCTATGGTTAAGGAATACCCATTTATATTCTTTTCTTCTCGTTATATGTCAGGATACGCAGAAAGTTTAATTTGGTGCAGTCGTTTCATATTAAACCCCGTGGCCGTTTCGTGTTGAAGAACTTAAAATAACATTCAAGATAATTTTAGCCTTCTGTCCTGAAAGGAAATTGTAACTCGTGTAGCGGTCATATTATAGTCTTCAGTAATGTTTCTGTAAGAAGTTTATAGGCCGTAATGAAAGCCCTGCTACTCTGATGCAGCCCATCTTCATATTTTAAAAATAATCGCAAGCAATGTTAGGAAGTCAGATGCACTGATTATGCCTCTGTATCGTGGAGGCAATTAATTAACTCAGAGCTCAGTTTTAATAATGTTCTTTCGGTTTCTCTGATTCAATTAACTGAACGGTACTGGTACTAGAAACCTATTATGAATTTGAATTTTCTCCTTGCGCATTTTCTGTAATTTTACAGCCATTTTATGTTGTTCCCTAGACATAAATATTGTGTTTAGCATTTAATATTTTCAGTCTTCATTCTTCTATGACAGCAAAGGACCAAAATCTGTTAACTGAAGCTTACAAAATAAATATTACAATTAGTTTTAACACTTAGGGGCCGCCTGGTTTGCCGACGTTTCGGATGCATGTCGATTTCTTATCCTTAGGGCTAAATTTCTTGAGAGCAGACCTAGTCCCCTTGTCTATAATGTTGTGTTGCTGGAAATGCTTTACGATAAATGAATATCGAGTATTTGTGATGTTAATATATTTAGCGAAAAACGGAAATATTATAAGAAGAAAAAAAGACGCTAGTAAGGACGTTTGTCTATAAAAACGTAGTGAGAAATACACATGTATATTCCGTTCTCAAAATACAGACCACAATCACAATATAAAGATTAGCTAAGATACCATTGAAAACTGTGTCAACGTTTAAACAATACTACTGGGGACAACAATGCAACAGATCAAAATTACCTTCATCAAATAATTAAGAATAAACTGAAATCGAGGAGTGCTTGTTACCACAGACAGTGTAACCTTTAAAAAAGACGTAAAAATTAAAATATACAAAATGGGTGTAAAACTTTGTCTCTAACAATGAAGAAGGAATATCTTGATTTAAGAGATAAAAGTGATGGGAAGATGGAGAAAATTACATTGTGAGGAGCTTCCCAATGATGTACTGTATGTGAGGCATACATCACAAAAGCGAGAAATGAGAAATTGAAAAATTTTAGTCGGAAATAAAGAAGATACCACGTGGGAGCCCTAGTCATAGCCGGGAGAAGAATTTTTATTTTATCTATGAAATTTCAGATTTCATTAAAGACGGGAAAGTTCTTGACTTTGCTATAATATTGGAAAATCGGCGTATGAATAAGGACGTTTGAAATTCCAAATGAAATATATTTCTGAATTATTATGTTTATGAAAGAAAGGAACAAAATGCCTTTATCTCTGTTTGCTAAGACTGTGGACTGGGCATTTGTTCGTACCTCACGCAATGAAAGCCCACATTGTTCTCTCGTATTTTTCTGTTTTTGAACATCGACCATTTCTGTAGAGTCCTTCTTGAGAAGTCGTGTCTACTGGAAAGGAGTTTCCAGCCTTTTGCTGGAACTTCCGTATTCACAAATGCTTGAACATGGAGGATTGCAGATTTTCAGATACCTATATAGGGCCTATAAGCTACATAGTCTCAAATATCATATGTATTACTGTTACTGTTGACGTTTATGATTCTTCAAAGACATATTCCGTTTACGTTCTTCTGTTATCTATTGAGTACTTCCAGCGGAAATAGGTATAAAATGAAAGCCTTCAGTTCTATCTTCTTGTTTATTATCGATATCTCCGAGTATAGGCCCTTATTTCTTTTAAGACGAGGTTGGGCGTGCAGTTACAGTCACATCTGCTCCTCATGTTGCACTGTTAACGAAAACTTCCTCGCACAAGAACTGAGTCATCGTGGAATCGAGTTCTCTACCACACGGTTCCAGCAAGATGGCGCAACCTTCCATACAGCGAGAGCATCCATGGAGGTCGTTCGAGAAATATTTCCAGAGCATGCTTTTTTCCTTGCGCGGCGAGCTTTCATGGCCCCCACGTTCTCCCGATCTCTTTGCCTGTGGTTATTTCTTAAAGCGAAAGTGTACACAATTAAACCAGAGGCCGTCGATGTCTTCAAGATCGTACTTCGGAAGCAAATTTCAGTGATACCAAAAAACATGGCGAGACGGTGGCGGTGGCGGCGGCAGTGGCGGCGGCGATGGCAGTGATAGAAAATGACGAGATAGAGGGAAAAGGCAAATGGTATAAAAGAATTGGCATCTGTTTCAAAACAGACCAACATTCCTACGGGACCCTAGAGACAAGGAGCGAATACGGCAAATGTTGGTGCGAATCGACGCTTTCTCACTTACAGTAAACATATTTCTGCTGAAACAGCATATCCGAATTACAATCAGACACTTATTAAGCTCGAGTCTGATTAGAGGAACAGATAGTAATTAATGTCTGTTGTTTCAGGTGACTTCGGGACGTACCAGCTGCGACAGTCATTGCTTCACATGCTGGCAGCTCTCACTGCAGGACTCCACATGCTTACCCTGGTCACCGTGGCAGCTGTACCTGATCACAGGTTAGGTATCTGCATCAGCACTCCATTGCAGTGTTTCCCAAATTAATCTGGCCACTGGAAACTTTCGAGATCGAAATATTTTTACCGAACCACTCGTACATGAAGTTACAAAGCAAGGCCACAAATAAGTACAGATAAAAACATATAAATGTTAAACAAGGATATGAGGTCCGAATATTGTTTAATCACAATATTTCGCAACGAAAATCGCAACCTTATATACATGACGTTACGCCCCGGAAGAGCAGAGCAGTTATTTAGGATTTGAGGCCTTCACAGGGGTGGTCATGAAGAGTTCTAGATTCTGGGATATAATTTCGAGTAGTCCGATGAAAGTCAGCCGATGTTTCGGAGGAACATGCTGCCTCCATCTTCAGGGTCGAAGAATAAGCCACATGCTTTCACATTGGTATCTTGCTCAGTTTGTTTGACCCTGAAAGTGGAGGCGACATGTTCATCCGAAACGTCTGTTGACTTTCAAAGAACCACACAACGTTATATCCAAGAGGATAGTACTCCTAATATGGCAAATATTAGCTATTTTAAATGAGAAAATTGTTTTTTCTTCATAAATTCTTCTTATGTTTGGCTCGGTATTGGAAAGTGTAATTCTGGTGCCAAAGTTAGTCTCTTTCTGCATTCTGTTATCAGTTTTCTGTATTGTAATGGAATTTTCTTGTGAAATCATTTTCATTTGGTAGAAAACCTGCGTTCCACGGAACAGCATTAGGAAAAATTGGTGCAATGTAAGGTGCATGCAAATTAGACTTCTTGCCTCACGGAATTGCGAATGGAGCCATCCGTGTGCTACATCCCCGTTGCCTAGTACCTGTGCCTAATACATTAAATCAGAAACACATATGGAGACGGAGGCCAGTTTTCTCCATTGGTTCCCTACAGAATTGCAGGGGCCACAATTGATTAAATGATTATGAAAATGGTTTGAAACTCAGAAAAACATGAATATCATATCATTAGTCGGTTAATTTAATAGACAGAGGGCACTGTATTCATCTCGTCACATTGCCTCTTCCCCAAAAACTATTTAGAACAATCATTACTGAGATAGCTGGTATCCTGTAGCCAGATGATGGGTCAAATTTCCGAAATGTGATATATAGATTGGCCTGAAGGTTAGTTAACCTAGAATATTCTCTCGTCTATTAAACCTGCCAGTCAAGTTTATAACGGCGTAACAGTTTTGTGAGTTATGCATTGAACACGAAGGATCTCACTTCGAAAAAATTTTGTGAACTCAGTATATGATAAAGAATTTCTTAACATATTTTATTATATACTTCCGCTAGCCAATTAACTGAATTTTGGGCCATTCTATACACCGAATACACTTCAGACATAGAATATCGCCAATAAAACGAATGAGCTATGCCACAATTATTCAGAGAATGATCATGCGAATAATTTGTAAAGGAACCAGGTTGAATAAGAATTCTTATCAGCATTCACAAGTGTGGAGGTGATAGCTTTATTTTCAGACGCAAAAGAAGCACGACTTCTCGTGCACAACTGAATCCAATCAAACTTATCCCAATGGCACATCTATTTCTCTTCATATCGAATTTTTTAATGCCTGAGAATTATATTCTCGCTTCAATGATTACTGCCTATTTGGATGTGACACTGTGTAGTCTAAGATGTCTTCCAACCTGAAGTTGGAGGTAGTAGATTCTTCCGAGACGTCAGCAATTTTCTACCTACGTACACGGCGTAACATCCCAGAATGTAGTATTACTCCTACTGACCACCGGGAGAGCCCCTGTGGGGAGGTTACTCTACCAAAAGTCGATTCAAGTCTGATAGTAACAGCCCACATGTCCTGAAATTACGAGAAATCGTGTTTTTTTTTATGGCTCCCTTAATGAGAAGTTTGTAGACGGAACCCTATCAAATTAAGAGTCAGTGTAGCGACTGGTTACGGGCTGGACGACCGAGGATCGGAGTTTGAGTCCCGGTAGGATCAAGAATTTTCTCTTCTTGAAGTCGTCCAGACTGGCTCTGGATCCCACCCAACCTCATATCCAATGGGTACCGGTGGCGTTTTCACCGGGGGTAAAGCGGCAGGAGCGTGAAGCTCACCACTCATCTCCAACTAGTGCGCAGGTCAAGATAATGTGGATCTATATATTCACTCCTCCATACGCCTTCATGGCGTAATGTTTAATTAGTTAAGCACAGGAACAACTTTAGTGTGTCATATTACGAGTACATGTTTTCGGAGGCTAGTTCTGTCTCCGTCTTCCGGTAGAAGGGAAGTGTAGGCCCTACATACGTTTCTAAGGTTATTAGGCCGCGCCATAGCTCAAGCTGTTAGTCGCTGGCTTCCCACCGCGGCGGCCCGGGTTCGATCCCGGGTCTGGTCAAGTGGGATTTTTAGTGGACAAAATGGCGCTGGGTCAGGTTTCTCCGAGTACTTCGGTTTCCCCTGCCAACCTTCATTCCACCAAATGCTCTACAATCACCCTCACCTATCATCTGGGGCTGGTACAATAGGCCAGAATTGGCCGCAGTACACGGGACTTAGTCCCACCTCACTAGCAATAGTAAAAATAAAGGTTGTTACTTGGGCCATTTCCTATCACATCGCCTAGGTTGTGGAGAGATTCTACAAATGCAACATGTTTGTCGAGTGGGCCTCTTAACTTTATTCTTTCCTTGTACCTGTCAGACAAGAGTCAAAATAATAGGGGACAATCGTGTTCACGCATAATTGACAACACAAAAGTAGGGCATATGGCGATGGAGGCAACTGATCATTTGTTATATTTCCAGCAGTGAAAGTGGTTGGCATATTGAATAACCTCACCTTTATGTTCAGTTGAGCCATGATGTACATTACATGGTAAATGACAGCATTGAACCGTAAATGGATTGGATTAACACAGTCGAGTGTTTTAACTTCGGCTATGGAAGCACCATGATTGGTTTCTCTCGGTTCATGTCCACAAGAGCGTTCTTTCACGAAGTATGTTTTTAGATCATGTTCTAAAGCAAAAAGTTTATGAAAGTATAATTTACGTTTAAGAACGCCTCATGTAGAAGAAATTAACAAAGGCTTCGAAGTTGTACTGCAGTAGAACACGCCATTAAAATAACAAAAACAAATGTTTTCAACGCAGTGTAAACCCAAGGTCCTTTTGCCTTTCTCTCATAACCTTAATGTTTTGCTCGTAACATTAAAGCGTTTATTTTTATATAGATCTACATATTGTGGTCGAGAATAAAATACTTTAGCAGAACTACGTATTATATTTTGGGGCACGCGGTTGCGTAGTTGGTTGAGGCGTTATGCTACAAGCCGGAAGGTCACGGGTTCGATTCCACATGAGGCTATTTGATTTTTCAATTTATCTAATCCTTCCAGCCGCACTATTGCCCTGGGGTCGACTCAGCCTAAAACGGGAGTAAACGGCAGCTGGCGCGTAAGGCTGACAGTCTCACCGCCATCTATGAGCCGATTGTGTAGAAAATATGGGAACCGCGACCTGTTAC